AAAGGTAGTTAAAGGAGTAATTGAAGATTTTGTCGAATAAAACATGCTAGCGACACTTTACACCGTTGAAATTTAATATAAGAGTTATTCACATAATGGCAAAAGACTCACCTTAACAGGACAGTTGAAATACGCCGTTATTTAAAAATTCCAGAGCTTTGTTGAGAGTTTTTACAGACAAAACACATCAGCCGCAGCTGAGAGTGAGGGGAAGAAAAGCGCGTGTACCTAAAGGAAGGAAAAAGTGCGGCAGCAGAACAGGAAGTAGACTGCCAAAATAAAGTCGCCAAAATAAAAGTCCACTAAAATAAAAAGTCTGTATTAGATACGGGTCACGTTTAATCGCCGTTATTTCGGTCCCTTCTGATTTTAGATAAAACACTAAACTATTGCTAAAATGTTAAAGGCACCGTATTTTTGATTCGTTTGAAAATGTTCTGTTTAAAATGTAATTAAGCATGTTGGCTTGTTTTATTCAGATGATAGAGTAACTTTAACCTAGTTTGTATTGGCCTTAATTCTAACCTGGTATTATTCATTTAGTACTGAGTAAAAGTACTTGTAGCTTTTATATATTATTTATGGTTTAAATAAATGATATTGTTGAAGAATTTCAAACAATGTAATTAATGGGTAAAAGAGAAGCTTGAGTAGTCTTAAAGCAACAGTTATTTTATTTAATTACTTTGAATCTAAGGAATATTATTGCTTTGAATTTAGTAATAACCCATCGAGTGCAGGAAGTATTAGCAGTAGCTTCTGCAATAACAGCCTCTGCAGAGGCAGTGCTGTTTCACCAGCTAAAAGTTTCACATGCAGTGGCAGCACTCCTCCTGCAGACCAAAATGGCATTTGTATCGCCAGCTAGACACCTAACGTGTATGACAATATTATTGTCACAACCGCATCTAACTATAGAGAGATGTACTGCACTGAACCCAGCCACCTTACTCCCAAATTTACGTAGACGGAGAAAAATTACCTTCAAATTTGTCAGCACAGGCAGCAGAACTAATAGCCTTGACTGAAGTGTATAAACTGTACAGAGACAGACCTGCCACAATTTACACAAACAGACAATATAGCAGTATATGTCTTTTGTCGCCAGTGGCAGCTGAGGGGGTTCAAAACCACCACAGGCAAAGAAGTGTTCACAAACAACTTCTTCAAAATCTATTAAATGCTATTCAGCTACCAAAGAAACTAGCAATAATTAAAATGTTCATACAAAAGGAACAGATTTGATATCAAATGGTAATAGATTTGCAGATATGAAAGCGAAAGAAAAGCGTGTGGAATATACACGCAAGAAACAGTAATTGATACTAAAGGTATTTTGCAAATAATACAAGAGCAAGCGAATACATCTGAAAGGGCGACTTGGTTGAGAAACGGTGCAGAAATCAGAGATCAAAGATATATGTGGGATCAAATGAAATTTTTTTTTACCAATCCATGTTTAAAGGAGCATGAGCCATGAGGTATATCATGTCTCAACAGGAGGGATGGTGGCACTAGTAAATCAATACTTTAATACAATAGGATTTAGTACCTACTCAAAAAAATTTTGCAGACAGTGTTTAATCTGTAAGTTTAGACCTAAGAGAGGCCGGTTTCCTCAATCAACCTACCCCCTTTCAGACCCTACATTAATAGATGTTTTTCAAAATGGATTGAAATATTTCCCACAGCCAAGACTGTTACAATCACAGTGGCAAAAACCCGATGTAACCACATTATTCCCACCTTGGGTATATCAGAAATCATTAGAAGTGATAATGGGATGCATTTTGTGAATAAGGTCATAGACTGGGAGAGCATCAAAAAATAGATCTAAAGAGACATTGCACGTATAGACCCCAATCGGCTGGACTCATGGAAACGCACAAATGGGACAGTAAGAACAAACTAAGTAAAAGAGATACACCTGACTTTGTACCTGATCTCGCCCAGTACATGGAGGAAACATCACTGGCTGGAGACTTGCTCAGAGAACAATAACCTGCCGGATCTTCCACTCTCTTCACAGCAGCATCCACCTGTCAGTGTTGGAGCCTTGTTGTTCATCAAGGTGATAAAACGGAAATGCTGGTCCAGTGATCGAAAGGAAAGTACCACACCGTGTGTTGCTGACCACTCCCACCACTGTTAAGGTTGAAGGGAGGAGCGGGTGGATCCACCTGAGTCACTGTGAGTCCAGAAACCTCGACGTGTAAGAGAGACGCAGGACCTCGCACTACTAAGCAGCGACAGTGTTCTTACGAGAAGTACGGGCTGGTAACCCCTGCTTCTTGGGCACTGCAACATGGTCAGTCACCTGGTCATGTGAGTGACTGTGTACAACATCAGCCTGATTATCTGACGCAGCCTTGAATCCAGCCTGCGGAGCCACAGCCTCAGAAAGGGGACAACAAAGAAGTATGGTTACAGTGAAAATGATGCTCTCCTGAGGGGTTTTGAAAATTTAAAATTAAGAAATTTGTGTTTAGATTCAGGTCTAGGCAAACACACAGACACACTCATTTATTGCAACGACACGCTCATTTCAATAAAAAAAGGGGCAAATATAGCATACGGCAACACCGGGAGGGGTTTAACTTGTAACGAAAGTTTTGATAGCATATCAGGGGAAAAAAAAAAAAATGATACTGCATGAAAACACACTCTCACCTTGCAGTGAATTTAGATTTTAGGGGGCATGGACAAATGTCGTGTTATCCATTTTTACATCAATGCTTAGTGGTATAAGTGTTTTTTGTGTTATGTTGTATTTTATGTATCCGCTTGCTCCTGATAGGATGTTTGAGAAAATTGAAATTCATGTAGCCGAAGAATGTGAAGCAATGTTAGCTAGTTTAAATTTGGACAACAATCCCGAAGAAAATTCTGTTTAGAAATATGCGAAATGACGAGACTTACAGTACTCTGAGGTAAAGCATTATTGATAAACAGGAGGGAAATGTGAAAGAATTTATGTGTTATTTTAAATATTATGCATAAGCATTTGTGTGTTCATTTAAATTCCTTTATCTTTTGTGTGTGTGATTAAAGTTATCAACAATTGCTTTTTGGGTTTTTCCATATGTATGTCATATGTCCTAGTTCAAGAACTTCTGACTCTTTAAGCTAATCTACTGAGTCACCCATGAGAAGACAGCTAAGGGTTTTTCCCCTCATGTGGTTAGCATAAGTTTTTGGGAGAAAACTGACCAAATTGTTTATCACCTGGAGCCTGTGATCAAGTGTGAAATGGGAGGGTGGTTTAGCCTAAAGATTGTTAGCATGTGATCATTGTAAACGTTGTGTGATATAACATAATGTACTGTACTGTTATCTGTGAAATGACTGCAATAAAACCTGCTGTTGTGAGGAGAGCTGGCAGAGTAGAGTGGCTCAGCCAGTGGTATTGACGGCTCTGACAGCTCTTTCTCCCTTGCGCAAGTGATTACTTTTAACTGTCTCGTTTTGGTGTGTCTTTATTTAATGTATTTTGATGTCTTAGGGTAAATTCCCTGACAGAGAGTAAAATCTTATTCTGCCTGTAAACAACAAGCAACATCTACACACCTAAATGAAAACAAATCAAACAAATGTAATGTGGCTCGATGAGCCTATGATGTTCCAGTGCCATTTTCAGAGGGTTAGTACAATCCTACTCAGCCAACATAAGGGCCCCTGTCTTGTGGCCATACGTCCTTGTCAAAGCCTGATCCCATCAGAAGCTACTAAAGTTACTAAAAGAATTACCGGAGGTTTACGCGCAACGCGGAAGCTTGAGCAGCCGCTGTTGTAATGTTTGGATCATCTACTGGACACTTGGACACACACAGAAAGTGCCCCACCACGTGTAGGTCGACGGCTCGCAGTGAGTCAGATCAGCTCCTCTTGGCTCTTCAAGTGTACGTCCCACCAGACTGTCCCGGTCATCTGCAGCTTTCTTTTTACTCACAGCGACACATGGAGGGGACAATCAGCAAACATTTCTATCAAACTATAAACTATAAAACATAGCTGGAAAAAGGGGCAACATATAAGTCCAAGTTTAGTTTATTCTGTTTGCTAAACTTTATAAACAATTCTTTTCTGCTTGTTAATAGAGCATATTTAAAGGTACAGTGTGTAACATTCTGGAGGTGGCATATTTCCACTCCTCATTCGGCCCACGTAAGAGTCAGGTATGTGGAGATTTCCAGTGCACTGAAAATGCTTTTATTTCAGTATTTTTCGAGTCAGAAGGTTACATACTGGGGCTTTAAGCACATGATAAAGTCTAGTGAGTGAAGTTTTTGTTCAGTCTATCTTTTGAAAACATCAGATTATTTATTTTATTTATTTATTATTGATATCTGCCCTTCCAGTTACATTCACTTTTTAAATTATGCAGAATGATACTTTCTTATTGAGAGTATGTTCGTATATTCTCCTCCTGTTCTCTTCGGTAAATAAACGCGGCCATTGAAGCCTGAGAGTTCCCCGGGCGCACCACGTGACCGGCTCATATGATGTCGCTGTAACTGCAGCCACATCCCCACAGCTCCTCTTCTCCTCCAGAGCCTCCGCACGACACACTTTTCATTTTTTATTTCATCATTTTTAAACTACCTCCACTATTTATTATATTTATTTAAGATCGTTTGCGTTCTTTTTGACAGCGATGTGCCCACACGATTTTCCCAAAGGCCACAATTTGCAGTTTAGTAATATTTAGGTAATAGTAAGTCAGTTTTTATAACCATATTTATTATTACTTTATTTTATTTTTATATTTTTAAGGGTTTTAGTTTTGTATCGACCCGTTTTGGTTTGGGCTCCGGTTCTGGCAGGTCTCTGGAGTCGTTGGATTTCGGATTCTGGGGGTTGTTTGTGGAGAAGCGTCGCGGGCCTCGGAGCCTGAGCATCACAGGGGCCGGTCCTGAGGCACTGGGGAGCGGCTCGTGTGCGGATCAGCGGTCGGTATTTAACGGGAGCTCGGTGCGCATCCTCCGTGCACAGGTGGGGACATGGGTGACGCTTCGGCCACCAACATCAAGGTGGTGTGTCGCTTCCGGCCGCTCAACAGCGCCGAGCTGGCCCGGGGCGACAAGTACATCCCCAAGTTCCAGGGGGACGACTGCGTGGTGATGGGGGTGAGTAGCTCTGGAGGGTTTGATTTGGAGAGTTGTGCGTAACGGTGCGTAATGGTGTTCTCCAAGGCCTTTTACGCACGGACTGAGTCGCCTATTAAACTGATAAAATTGTATTTATTAGGTTAATTTCTATTTGTCAAAGGCAGATCTATCTCTGTGAAGTTATGACACGTGGTGTGGTACAAGATGGTTCATGTGTTGTAGACTGAAGCTCTTAAAGCTCTAAAAGCTTTTCTAATTGTTTGTATTGTTATTTTCATACAGACTATTTCACTTGTGTTCTTTGGTCGTACTTGTGCAGAGTTGGAATGTTTCACACTTGTCTTTTGTATCTTTACATACACGTACAGGTACACGTGCATGTACACGTACACATACACGTACATTTATGTTGTGGCTTTAAAGTTAAACAAAGGAATATTGCCTTATTCTGTAGGCTGTGAAACAGTCAGTGTGTCCCCTCTGCTTTCATGATTTTTTCCCTTTGAGAAGATCAGATGATAGTTTCTCAGTAGAGGCGTGACAGAGTCTGACCAGGCTGAGGCCGCGGGGCCCAAACCAACCAGGGGCCTAGAACACTCCACTGTTCACTGTATGTGTGTGTGTGTGTGTGTGTGTGTGTGCTGTAGCATCTGCTGCACACTGCCTTTATCAACTCAAAACTAAAACAAAATAAAACAACTTATCTCAAGACAACAGTACTACTACTACTACTACACACACACACACACACACACACACACACACACACACACATATATATATATATGATAGTAGAGTGTGGAGAGTGTCATGTCCACAGACGTGTGTCCCTGCTCCACACAGCACCTCCATGTGTGTGTCTGTGTGTGTCTGACACATACCTGTGTGTCAGTATGAGAGGGGACGTGACCAGGGACATGACAGTGTGTGTGGGTGCTGTCTATGTGGGTGCTGTCTATGTGGGTGCTGTCTATGTGGGTGCTGTCTGTGGGTAATGTCTGTGGGTGCTGTATGTGGGTGCTGTATGTGGGTGCTGTCTGTGGGTGCTGTCTGTGGGTGCTGTCTGTGTGGGTGCTGTCTGTGGGTGCTGTATGTGGGTAATGTCTGTGGGTGCTGTATGTGGGTGCTGTATGTGTGGGTGCTGTCTGTGGGTGCTGTCTGTGGGTGCTGTCTGTGTGGGTGCTGTCTGTGGGTGCTGTATGTGGGTGCTGTCTGGGTGGGTGCTGTCTGTGGGTGCTGTATGTGGGTGCTGTATGTGGGTGCTGTCTGTGTGGGTGCTGTCTGTGGGTGCTGTATGTGGGTGCTGTATGTGGTTCTGCTCTTCCACATTGTCCTGATGTTTGTTCAGTGTCTGTGATCGTCACATTGACTGACTGATGGTGCTCCACATGTGTCCAACCCACACACCTGGGTCCCCACATGCAAAGTGTGTCCTCACTACTGCAGTATGTAGTACACAGTCCTGCAGTATGTAGTACACAGTCCTGCAGTACACAGTACACAGTACTGTGATGCTGGAGGATACGTGGCCTCAGTGCAGTATTTTTACTTCATTGCTGTTCAGACGCTCACCACCAAAATCCAACATGTGACTTTATTTGTGGAACGTTTTTTTTACTCTGGTGCCATGACGACCTGTGTCCTCATCTCAAGTCCATCCACACTGTGAAAAGAAGGTATAGGGCCCGTGATTCACAGGACACAGCAGGAGGAGAAGGAGGAGAGGTCAGTTTGCTACAAACAAGCCCAGGGCTCAGTCCTGAGAGGAGCTTGAGATGGTCAGAGATGACTAGAGCTGAGACAGTGACTGCTGTGAAACAGTGTGGAGAAAACACTCGAGAAACAATAGTCACGAGACAGAGGCAATGCTCTGCTCTGGAGGCACTGAACTGATCAGACCAGTGAAGTGTATGGACTTAAATGTAGGAGCACTCCACCTCATGACATCATCAGGTTAAACAGGACATTTGAAGCCATAAAGGGCTCTGGCTCTGCAGGATCAGCCTGACCTCATGAGGACAGAGTTTAAAAATCTCACCAAACTCTCAAGTGTGTTTACGTCCAGACTTTAATGATGTGTGAAAAGGAGACGGAGCATGAGCAGAGCTCTAGATTTACTACAGAGATGAGGTGTTATTTATTATAACTCATCTTGTATTTGTGTTTGTCTTTATGTCCTCTGTCTCTCTCTCTGTCTCTCTCTCTGTCTCTCTCTCTGTCTCTCTCTCTGTCTCTCTCTCTGTCTCTCTCTCTCTCTCTCTCTCTCTCTCTGTCTCTCTCTCTCTCTCTGACTCTCTCTCTGTCTCTCTCTCTGTCTCTCTCTCTGTCTCTCTCTCTCTCTCTCTGACTCTCTCTCTGTCTCTCTCTCTGACTCTCTCTCTCTCTCTCTCTGTCTCTCTCTCTGTCTCTCTCTCTCTCTCTCTGTCTCTCTCTGTCTCTCTCTCTGTCTCTCTCTCTCTGTCTCTCTCTCTCTCTCTCTCTGTCTCTCTCTCTCTCTCTCTCTCTCTGTCTCTCTCTCTGACTCTCTCTCTGTCTCTCTCTCTGACTCTCTCTCTGTCTCTCTCTCTGACTCTCTCTCTGTCTCTCTCTCTGTCTCTCTCTCTCTCTCTCTCTGTCTCTCTCTCTCTCTCTGTCTCTCTCTCTCTCTCTCTGTCTCTCTCTCTGTCTCTCTCTCTGTCTCTCTCTCTCTCTCTCTGTCTCTCTCTCTGTCTCTCTCTCTCTCTCTCTGACTCTCTCTCTCTGTCTCTCTCTCTCTCTCTGACTCTCTCTCTGTCTCTCTCTCTGTCTCTCTCTCTGTCTCTCTCTCTGTCTCTCTCTCTGTCTCTCTCTGTCAGGGTAAACCGTTCTACTTCGACCAAGTGTTCCGCTCCAACACCACACAGGTGGAGTTTTACAACGCTGTGGCTCAGAAGATCGTCAAAGGTGAAGAGACCTGTGACAGCAGCATGTCCTACACATGTCCTACACATGTCCTACACGTGTCCTACACATGTCCTACACATGTCCTACACGTGTCCTACAGATGTCCTACACGTGTCCTACAGTCCTACACATGTCCTACACGTGTCCTACACATGTCCTACACATGTCCTACACATGTCCTACACGTGTCCTACACATGTCCTACACATGTCCTACACATGTCCTACACATGTCCTACACATGTCCTACACGTGTCCTACACATGTCCTACACATGTCCTACACATGTCCTACACATGTCCTACACATGTCCTACACATGTCCTACACATGTCCTACACGTGTCCTACACATGTCCTACACATGTCCTACACGTGTCCTACACATGTCCTACACGTGTCCTACACATGTCCTACACGTGTCCTACATCTGTGTGTCCAGATGTCCTGGAGGGTTATAATGGAACCATATTTGCTTATGGACAGACCTCCTCAGGAAAAACACACACTATGGAGGTAAGAGGCACCGTCATCTAAACCGGAGATATATATACACTCTGTCCTCTCCTCTCAGTCCTCTTGTCTCTGTCCTCTTCTCTCTGTCCTGTCCTTTGTGTTCTGTCTTTTCTGTCCTCTCTTCTCTGTCCTCTTATCTCTGTCCACTCTGAGTGCTTCTCTGAATCTTGTCCACAGGGGAAGCTCCATGACCCTGAGATGATGGGCATCATCCCCAGGATCGTGCAGGACATCTTCAACCACATCTACTCTATGGACGAGAACCTGGAGTTCCACATTAAGGTGAGTCTGATCTGCTCTGGTCTGTGGGCTCCGTCCTCTCGTCTCTGTCCTCTGTCCTTCTGCTTCTGCTGGACTCATGTTCTTCTGTGGCTTTTGCAGGTGTCCTACTTTGAGATCTACCTGGACAAAATCAAAGACCTGCTGGACAGTACGTACACTCACCATCAGTAAAATCCTGATACTTTGCAGCTGATGTCATCAACTTTCTCTGGATGTGTGATGCTAACTGTAGGCTCTGCTCTGTCTGAGGCTTTCTTAAACTTTAATCTGAGCTTTATTTGGATACAATCTGACCAGAAAGAACTGACTTAGCTGGAACTACAACAGGTGAGGTTTCATGCTGTTATTCCGACATGCCGCTGTTTAGACATTGACGTTTAATTGTCAAAGCAGCGGCATAAACATTATTTTTCAAGAGTCACTACTTCTATTTTTCAGACAGTCCACATTTCTGACATGAATAAATGTGATAGTCCATTACACTTGGCGCTCCTTTATATCATAAGGCGTTTGGGTCGGTGCAAAGCATTTGATAAGAGAACACCTGGGTCATGCATTTTAAAAACGAGCATAGACCAGCCTTCGGGAAAATATCTCATGAAATATCTCAAAACGGAGGCTGCATGGGCCTTTATATATGACGTGTCATACATGTCAATAGCAATACTAAAAAGTGTCAGAAAACACGTGAACAATGAAGGGGTGTTGGAATAGTTGGCTGATTCCTGTTTTCAGAGTATCTAAAAAACTTTTTTGCCAGTGTTTTCCAAAATTGATGGTAACTCATGGTAACTGCTGACATCACAAGGTGGAACAGTTCAGTTTTTGTTTGAGAGAAGAACTCAGCGTAAATATCCAGGGTTTTCATGTTAAAAATCCACAACACCCAACAAAACACAACTCCAAGTCTGTTTGTGATGAGTAAACAACTTTATAACACAGATCAGAAAGTGTGACATGGCCCCTTTTTTTTTTTCTTTCATAGATATAATTTTGTTTGCAAACTACATACATTACAACAAATAGAAACCAAACAACATACAAGGTACAAGACAAACATTATGATCGAAGATTAAACACAAATAGGGACAAAGGTGACAGGGGTTGGTGACAGTGTGAACCTTATGTGTGTGTGTCTGTGTTGATGATTTACTGTTGACCTGTATTATTATTATTTAATTTGAGTATTGAAAATTAGTGAAGTGTGTGTTGGAGTTTTGCCTCAGATCCCCACTCAAGTTAGAGCAGGCCAAGCCACATCCACACCCCCCATGGCGAGTGCAGGGGCCACCCCCAGGGCCCTGCATGCAACCGCCCACCAACCAGGTCGGTCAGCTCCTCGATGAACCACCTCCTGGTCTGAACGCTCCCCCTCCCTGATATATATGTACATGTGCATACATTCACACACACATTATTTGAGACAGGGACAGCGCACAATTTTAGCATTTTTCCTTAACAGGAGAGATGCATTGTACATCAGGTTGTAGCATCAGTGCTAATTTCCACCTGTCGTCCCTGGACAGATTCACTGATTGATTGTATTTAACTGACCTTAACTATCAACTGTTCTTGGAGAAATGTGTAGCATGTTTTGGGTTGATGGGGGAAACCGGAGCGCCTGGAGGAAACCCGGAACCTTCTTGCTGTGAGGCATGAGTGCTAGCCACTCAGCCACCTGCCTACACAGGAACATGCACACACATCCACATACACACAAACCTGCACACACACTCACACATTCACACATTCACACATTCACACACATGAACCCACATTCATCCCTGGTTGACTTGTGATGCATTGAAAAAAAGTTGGGTGTGATGCATTAAAAGTATGAGGGAGGTGAGGAGCTTGGAGGTAGAACAGAGAGTGAAGCCAGCACAGCGGGGAGGCCCTGAGGGGACAGGAGAGCACGCACCCAGGCACCTGTAGGTGGATCCCCACACCCAACACCCAGGCGACAGCAGAGAGGGCCCAGCCCGCTAGGGACCTGAGGCAGATAACTTCTGCGCTGCATTCCTAAGTGTATTAAAGTAATATTTGATATAGCCTGTCTACCCCATCCCTGTTTCTTTATAAAATAAAGTGGTGTGTGAGTGTATGACATTGCGTGTGTTTGTACAGGTGTGTGAGTGTGTATGGGTGTGTGTGTTGTGTTTATGTGTATGTGCATGTGTATGTACTCTCAGGACTTCATCATCTATTTTAATGTCAGGCAAAAGGTGGTTGGCTACCAGACAAAGACAAGAGTTAAGGAACAAGGAGATGAATAATCCAATATGAAATTACATTTTGTAGAAAATGGAGGAAGGTGGACCAGGGTGAGTGTGGTGCTGTTGTGCTGACGGGGGTAGTAGATGTGTATTCCAGAGAGATATGGTCAATGAGTAGGTTTTTCCAGTGTGTCAGATGTATGTTGTGTCTTGATTTCCAGTTCATAAGTTCATAGTTTTCTTGGCGATAGTTAGGGCCACAAGAAGAAGTTTATGGTTTGTGTTATCTATTGTGATTATTGAAAGGTCTCCTAGAAGGCAGAGTGAGGAGGACATGGGGATGCGACAAGCCATAAAGTGGGATAGTGAGTCTGTGATTTCTTCCCAAAAGTGCCTGATGGACCCTTTTTGAATATTTAAGGGATAAATCATAATGCAGTGTGATGTTTTTGAGTTTGAGGTACTAGAAATCCTTAAATGTGCAGTCAAAAGTACAGCCTAAGATGATTTGGGCCAATTCAGCAAGAGGCCAGAGCTAAGCGCCAACAGATATTGGTCCTTGGGCCGTAGTTTGGACACTCAGTGTAAGTTAGATGGACCCATGCACAGCAGGTTTTAGTCCATGTGACAGAGCAGAGGAGTGGAGTACTCAGTTACATTTACTTGAGAAACCTTTTAAAGAAATTGTACTGAACTGTTGCCTGGAAAAATCCATCTGTGTACAGTGGCTGATATGGATCTGTAGAACAAACACACAGCGAGAGAGAGAGATCCTTCTGCACTTCCAGCCAAACTGAACTGTAGTATTGAAGTATTAGAGTAAAAGTGACAAAAGTTTTATGTGATAATATGAAATGATTTGAAAATGTGTGTTTCTTGCAGCTCCTTCAGATCTGATCGAGTTTGTCTCATTTTTGTGTCTGTCCTTTGAAAATTCCAGATTTTGTGACTTATTTAACGTTTTGTCCTTCACATTACATTAACTTTAAATTTATCAAAATCAAATGTTACATCCAAACAGTCACTCTTTAGTTTTATTTTGAATTCTTATTTGAGTCCAATGTTTGGCCTCTCCCCCATTTCTGATACTTAAATATGTTTAAACATTTCCAAATGCAGAACACTGATGTTTCTTTCCCACAGTAACAAAGACCAACCTGTCTGTGCACGAGGACAAGAACAGAGTCCCGTATGTGAAGGTGAGACTGCAGAGCACACGTCTCATTCTCGACTCTCACACTGTCGAAGAAGACACGGCTTTAAAGAAATATGATGCAAAAGTGACTTTTTAGAGCCATGCACCATGTTACATGTTATAACATTGTCCCCTCATCAGAAACAGGCCTGAAGAGGGTTTACATGTCATCCATGCATGTTTGAGTCATTTAGTGATCTCTCCCAGGCCCTATTTAAACCCTCCTTATAGTTAGCTGTAAGACTGTGTATAAGGCTCCGCCCACAAGCCTACATCCCCCATGCTCCCACACAACAATTGTCCACAAAACTACACAGCAACTTGACAAACCTGATGTGATGTGCAGTTTTTTATGAGTGGGATGCACACTCACTGTGTTGTGATAGTGCTCTGAAGGGGGAGTGACTTAGTGTAGTTACACAACAAGAATATCTTCTAGTATAAATAACAACAAGGATCAGCACAGAGTTCTGACCAGTGGCTCTCCCTCTGAATGTGGCATGTTGAAGGTTGTGGTACATTCACATGTGAGAATGTGAGCATGGCTCTGGTGCTCACAAGTGCCCATCCTCTGCACTAACAATAAAACATCTAACATAATATGCGTGAGAATGAATGAGAGGTGTCACTTCCACGCTCCAGAGACAGATCAGAGCCTGAACACTGTGCTGTTGTGCTTGTGTCCTCAGGGCAGCACTGAGCGCTTCGTGTGCACTCCAGAGGAGGTCATGGAAGCCATAGATGAAGGCAAGAGCAACCGCCACGTGGCCTTCACAAGTGAGTGTGCTCCTGGGGTCTGCCTGGTCTGCTGACTGAGAAACAGGGACAAACAAACACTGAGGATGCTCTCCCTGTCACACTGGAGACTTACTGTATATGACATCACTGTCAAGTTACACTCCAATAGTGTTGACATGATACGGACATTTCAAACTCAGGAACAGACTACTAAAAAATACTCAAAAATACTCAATACTGATTCTGATTCCACATTCATCATAAAAAACTCTTTCTTTGGACCAGTCATTCTGGTCTGCACTAATCATTTACACTACATTGAATAGAATACAAGTTAAAACAATCTACCAGTGATGTTAATACTGAATGTAAACTAAGAGTATTGAAAGCTGATTTAAAATCTTTTTACTTTTATGCTTGTGTGAACAGCCGTCCACAGCCTCGTCAACATGAAATAATCATACTTTCTTTGACATCATTATCATACATAGTCACAGTACTTAGTATCAGTTAGTATCTGATTTTTGATTCCTTTGACAGCTCGACTCTTTTGTTGGAGTAGGCTTGTTTTTCCTGCAGCAGTAGATGTATGAACAATGTTCTGTGTGTTACAGACATGAATGCAGACAGCTCCAGGAGCCACAGCATCTTCATCATCAACATCAAACAGGAGAACACTCAAACAGACCAGAAGATGACTGGGAAGCTCTACCTGGTGGATCTGGCAGGGAGCGAGAAGGTACAGGCTCTGGCTCCCACCAACACAATGTGCTTCCACCAACAGTGTCCCTGATCAGATCTGTGATGTCAGGAGTTTTGTGCTGAGTTTGAACTTTCTCATTACAAGTTACAAGTGACTCTCTACACTGAAGTCGTACATAGATACTATTACTAGAGTGAACAGTGAGTGATAGTTTTGTAGTAGTGTGGTATCATTCTCCTGGCTGGGTGCAAGTGCTATAATACACAGATACACTGATAGTTGTGTGTATTAGTTGTATGTATGTTAGTGTACTGGTGTTGTGTCACTCTCCTGGCTGGGTGCAGGTGCTGTTATACACAGAATAATAGTTGTGTGTATTAGTTGTATGTATGTTAGTGTACTGGTGTTGTGTCACTCTCCTGGCTGGGTGCAGGTGCTGTTATACACAGAATAATAGTTGTGTGTATTAGTTGTATGTATGTTAGTGTACTGGTGTTGTGTCACTCTCCTGGCTGGGTGCAGGTGGGGAAGACGGGGGCAGAGGGCACGGTTCTGGACGAGGCCAAAATGATCAACAAGTCTCTGTCTGCTCTGGGCAACGTCATCTCTGCTCTGGCTGAGGGCTCGGTGAGGAACACACACACTCACATACACATACATACACACACAGGCACACACACACATACACAGTATTATATATTATAATATGTCAGCTTTTACACACTATTAGCAGAGTACTTGTAATGCAGCTTTAGCTTTAAGAAATTTGAATAAACACAATAGTATGTCTCAGGCATGTTGTAGTCATGTTTGACATTTAGAAACTTCGATTTTTCAAATGTATTAATGACACTGTATCTGATTTTTACCATCTACAGAACTAGTTCATTTGAAACAATTTGCAGTGGTTTGTTCTTCCTCACTTACCTTATGCATTCAGAGCATCTAAATGATTCACCACAGTGAGTTTATAAGCACTTTTCACAGTTCTAATGCGTTCAGACTTTGGTGTCAGGTGCATCACTTGACAATAATCACATCATGTACATGTACATGTAGAGTAACAGTATTTGTCTGTGGTCAGACCTATGTCCCGTACAGAGACAGTAAGATGACGAGGATCCTGCAGGACTCTCTGGGGGGAAACTGTCGCACCACCATGGTGATCTGTTGCTCCCCTTCAGAGTTCAACGATGTGGAGACCCGCTCCACCCTGCTCTTTGGACAGAGGTACTGCCTGACCTGTGAGACCAGAGCGCTCACACTACACTGACATGTAGAGCTGGAGCTAATTCACACACTCAAACTTCTCCTCACTGCTGTTGCCACCTGTAAATCCTGAGAATGGTTTCTCTATCATTAGTCTATTAAAACAGACCTATTCTGCAAAACGGACTTTTCAAACATGTTATGGGTGTTTCCCTTTTCATTTACACTCTCAAAGTTGTATGTGGAGTGATTTGTGCATGTTTGAGCAATCTTAAATTTATTACTTATTTTTAAGACACAGTTTTGGCGATCAACTCCTGTTTTCACCACCACCAGTACACGTCCACTGTGACGTACGCACAGATTTATTTTCTTAATCAGTGATACATGTAGGATTCAGAAGTACTGTATAGTCTTTTTGGTAAAGACGAAAAACTCCCAACACAGAGCTTGTGATAACGTTTCCGTCAGCTCCCACAGTTTTGTAAAGCAGACGTCAGCAGACTTGTTTCTTTTATGAAGATGTTTCAGATGAATATCGTGATTTAAAATGTGCAATTTACAACATAATGATCCTCAGGGGTGATGGATTAGAACTATAGAGCGACAGCAGTTTTCTTTAACACACATGTGGTTGACTAAGATACTATGGACAGATGAATGGACTAAATGACAACTTAAGGCATATTAAAGCCCATTTCACATGTAAATCTGTAAAACAAACAAACAAACAAAAAGCAATAACTGATCTACTACTTTAAGTGCATTTCTAAAAGGCGTGTAAATGTGAGACTCTGATTTGGCGTTTCTAATTCTAGTTTCTTAAGCGAGCGAGCTAGTGTGAGCACAATTATCAGATCCATGGTTTTCACGCACAGCTGGGCTCCACTGAAAACTGCTGCAGGGAAAATCTGAGTCAGCGGGCTGCGGTTCGCTTGGGCGGCTTTGAAAACCTGTGCGGCTGCATATTAATATATTCTATCACTAATTTGGAAATCTCCCCATTAATCACACGACCAGTCAAAAGTCTGGACACATCTTCTCATTCTGTGTTTCTTCTTTATATTTAATACTTTTTCTGAAAACATCAAATATATGAAGTGAGATGTATGAAACTATGTAGTAAAAAAAACATGTAACATAAATAACTCAGAATATCTTTCATATTTTTGATTCAGATTCTTAAGTGTCCATTGTGCTGCAAACCCTTGGCCTTCTCTAAATGAGTTTTATGATGAAGTCTCCTGAAATGGTTTCTACGTCAGAGCTGTGTGTGCTCAGGGTTTATAGGTCGAACGGCAAGAGTGAGAAAAACAGTGATCAAAGCAAAAGGTCAAGAACAATCTAAAATACAAAACATGTGTGGAGTTATTTTATACTTTTTTTACCAGGACTAAACCAGGACTGAACCACATTTCGACTAGGACTGAACCAAGTCTAAACCAGGACTCAGCTAGGACTAAACCTGGACTAAACCAGAACTAAACCAGGTCTAAACCAGGACTGAACCAGGACTAAACCAGGACTGAACTAGGACTCAGATAGGACTACTGGTAGTGTACATTAGTTGTTGTTTTTTTTGTTTTTTTTTGTGACTGGAGCTACACAGAAAAAGTGGTCTGACCAGTTCTCTGGAGAAATCAGACTTTAGCATCAGCTTGTCTCCATGGAGATAGTATTAAGCTGTCTGAAATGTTTCACAGTGTGGCATTAAACTTATCCAACTGCCATTTATTCAGTTATGAGTGTTTTTATTGCTACAGCCAGCGCACCATCCTCTCCACAGACCTGACCGGTATCTTGGTCTGGTGGCATCTCCTTGTTTCTTGTTTCCATGGAGATAGTTAAGTTCAATGCCATACTGTGAAACATTCCAAGCAGAGCAATCACATCGTCATAGCGACAGAAAAGTGACATAATGCACCTTTAGTGGGACAGCAGGTGACTCAGAGTGTGTTTGGGACGTGACCTTCTAGAGCAAAGACCATCAAGAACAACGTGAGCCTGAACGTGGAGCTGACGGCCGAGCAGTGGAAGAAGAAGTGGGAAAAGGAGAAGGACAAGAACAAGACCCTGAGGAGAACCGTGAGCGGGCTGGAGGCGGAGCTGGCCCGCTGGAGGAAAGGTCAGGAAAACTACGACTGAACCAGGATTAAGCCAAAACTAAACCAGGACAAAACCAGGACTGAAAAAAGAGTTTTCTAGGACTGAACCAGGACTAAACCAGGACTGAGCTACCACTGAACCAGGACTGAACAAGGATTAAACCAAAACTAAATCAGGCCTGAACCAGGACTGAACAAAGAGCTGGCTAGGACTAAACCAAATCTAACCTAGAATTAAACCAGGACTAAACCATGACTGAACTAGGTCAAATCCAGGATTAAACCAGGACTAAACCAGGACTAAACCATGATTGAGCTTCCACTGAACCAGGATTCAACCAGGACTGAATCAGATCTAAACCAGGACTAAACCAGGACTCAACCAAGTCTATTCCAGGATTAAACCCGGACTAAACCAGGACAGAGCTACCACTGAAACCAGGACTGAACCAGGTCTAAACCAGGATTAAACCAGGACTGACCTACTACTGAACCAATATTAAACCAGGACTAAACCAGAACTGAACAAGATCTAATCTAGGATTAAACCTGGACTAAAACCAGGAGTGAGCCACCACTGAACCAAGATTAAACCAAGATTAAACCAGAACTAAACCAGGACTGAACTAGATCAAATCCAGGATTAAACCAGAACTAAGCCAGTACTAAACCAGATCTAACCCAGGACTAAACCAGGACTGAACCAGAACTAAACTTCAATTATACTGGTGTTGAGCTTGGACTGAACCAGGACTAAATCAGATCTAAACCTAGACTACATCAGGGATGAGCTAGGACTGAACCAGGATTGTGTTAGAATTTAGACAAAAACAAAACCTTGACTGAATCAAGACTAAACCAGGACTGAACCAGGACTTTATTCTAGACTACTGACTGTGGTCTTGTCCACTTGTAGACAGAATGAGTGAATGAAGCTTCATGCACTGTGATTCCTCCTGCAGGTGAGACGGTGTCGGTGGAGGAGCAGTTTGACAAAGAGAAGGCCAGTGCAGAGGTGCAGGCTCTGGACATGGCCCCTAACAATGACAAGGCGGCCCCCAGCGCGGCCCCCAGCGCGGCCCCCAGCGCGGCCCCTGGAGCTCCAGGGAACAAGCTCACAGACGCAGAGAAGGAGAAGTACGAGGCAGAACTGGCCAAACTCTACAAGGAGATGGACGACAAGGTGAGAGGAGTGAAAACAACACAGATGACTTCAGGGAGATGTCAGATGGTGTTAGGGAAAAGCTCTAGAATGATCCAGAAGGTATGAACCAGGACTAAACCAGGACTAAACCAGGACTGAACAAAGATTAAACCAGGACTGAACCAGGACTGAATCAGGACTAAACCAGGACTAAACTAGGGTTGAACCAGAAGTGGAAGTATTTTCTCTTTGAGAAAAGAACCTAAATGTGCAGGTTTGTGTGCTGAACTTGTGTGAATGAAACAAAGTCACTCCAGGTGTGTTTGTGATGAGGAAACTCCATTAGAACAGATCAGAAAAGTGTAAACTGTTGTTATTGGAAGTGTAATTACATTTTACTTTATACTGATGTTACAGTGCTGTTGCCATGGTGATAAGGTATCATAACTAAAAGTGTGATTCCACCAGTGCTCTTGTGATGCTTCTGCAGAGTCACGTCACGTCTGACCTGACCCTGACCTGACCCTCTTGATCGGTGTGAGCTCTTGGACCCTGCTCTCTGGTCAGACTTTGCCTGTTTGCTGTGTCCCTCAAACATGTCTCTTGTCTCTGGTCTTGTTCCTCCTTCAGGATGAGGAGATCAACCAGCAGTCTCAGCTGTTGGAGAAGCTGAAGGAGCAGATGTTGGACCAGGAGGAGGTGACACACACTACACTTCACTGTCCACTGTACCAAACACTACTGCATCTTCTCACAAGAGTCCAGGGAGCTCAGTGAGTGTGTTTCCATACACTCAAAGAAACCAGGACTCTCATCCCTCTGTGGACATTGAGTGTGTACACATGCACATTGAGTGTGTACACATGCACATTGAGTGTGTACACATGCACATCAGTATCCTGGTTATTATCCATGTCTTGGTTATGGCAGTATTTGGGATACTGTGTTTACATGCACTCTGAGAAACCGGGACACTGATATTTGTGTATACATGATCAAATAGAGTATCCTGGTTTCTTGACATAATCTTACAAATGCTCAAAAATTAACTTAATCTAAGTTAATAAACCAGGAAAATACAAACAACCGTGAACAACCATGAAACCTGGGAGGTTCTAACCAGCGGTGAGGAGCTATGAGATATCCCACAATCCACCCAACGTGTAGATTTTTTATTAAAATATTCTGCATAAATGAACTTTATAACAAACCATAACCACATCAGCCTGTTTGATAATTCAGCTTTGCCACATTTGTTTATGTTTTACTGAAACGAAACTTAAAACCACATGGCTAATTTACATAAAGTGTTAGTGGTGATAAAAACATTCTCAAATGTAAAAGTAAAAAAACAAAAAGCAAAACAAAACAAAACAGAATATGTCACTTTTCTGTGAAGGGCCCATTACCAGTGTTGGGAAAGGTGACTTTTAAAATGTAATCCCCTACAGATTACAGATTACAGATTACACACCCCAAAATGTAGTTTGTAACGTAATCCATTAAATTACTTAAAGTGAGTAACGTAATCTGATTACTTTGGATTACTTGATATTGTCATGTTTTTTTAAACGACATGAATGTAACAACCACATCCTGAAAATTCTTGTTTGTTGTCTTCAAATTGTCTGAGCCCAAGTCTCCATGAATAAGCAACTGTTTGCTGTAGAGAAACAAAGACCACGAGATCTTAATATAAGAGGTTTTGTCTGTTAAAAGACAGAAACAAGATCAGTCTTTCCTTCACCAGATTAAAAAATATTATTGATAGAGAAATAATTTTTTATATGAGATCATCTTAAATTATGTCAACCTACTGTTAGGTGTCATGTTGTTTAGACCTGGTTTAGTCCTGGTTTAGTCCTGATTTTTAGACCTGGTTTAGACCAGGTCTAGATCAGGTCTTTAGTTCTGGTTTAGTCGTGGTTTAGTCCTAGTTTAGACCTGGTTCAGTCCTGCTTTAGTCCTAGTTTAGTCCTAGTTTAGTCCTGGTTTAGTCCTGGGTTAGTCCTGGTTTAGTTCTGGTGTTAGTTCTGGTTTAGAGGTGCACAGGAGGAAGCGCGGTTTACGCGAGAAAACACAGGTCCACACGCGGCGCACGAGACGGCGGTGTCCACGCTGTAACTACGGAAGGAGACGTGGTCCGCGGGTTCTCAGGTTAATGATGATGATGAAGGTGTGTGTTTGTGTGTGTGTTTGTGTGTGTGTTGTGTGTGTGTGTGTGTGTTTGTGTGTGTTTGTGTGTGTGTGTGTGTTGTGTGTGTGTGTGTGTGTGTGTGTGTGTGTGTGTGTGTGTGTGTGTGTGTGTGTTTGTGTGTGTTTGTGTGTGTGTGTGTGTGTGTGTGTGTGTTGTGTTTGTGTGTGTGTGTGTGTGTGTGTGTGTTTGTGTGTGTGTTTGTGTGTGTGTGTCCACTCATGTGGCAGGTCATTATAGGACAGTAGTGCAGATATTATGAGTCTATGCAGGTTGTTTTCACCAGTGCCAGTAGCTCCGGTTTCACATTTAAGTTGTAGGCGATTTTATATATATATTTTTTATATTTATCTCACATCGGGAGAAGAATTTCCAAGACACAAATGCGTTTTTACCAATGCACTGCTGCTTCCACTGTGTGACTGACACCGCCAACTTTAACATGACGTTTACATCGCTCTTATTGTGCACGTTCTGTTTGGGCTTCAGGCAATGAGTGGAATTACTGAAATAAAAAAAATAAATAAATGGGATGTAGCACAAAATGTGAAAACAGGAAAATACCGCCTTGTAATCCACTTATTTCAGCAAAGTAACTGTAATCCAATTACCACTCATTGAAACAGTAACTGTAACGGAATACAGTTACTCATAATTTGTACTCTGATTACGTAACAGCGGTACATGTAATCCGTTACTCCCCAACACTGCCCATTACCTACATAAAAATAAGTCTCCATAAAGAAAATAGCTTTTTATTTTTCAGTCCAGATCTAAAACGTAGTGGAGTAGAAAGTACAAATACATGCTCCTGAATGTAATGAAGTAAAAGTAAAAAGTATTCACTGTAAAAATCACTTCAGTACTTTTAACTTTTGTACTCCCAACAACAACAACAACAACAACAACAACAACAACATATTGACCCATAGTGCAATTTTTAATAGTTTGTCTACTTATTTCACTGTAATATGCAAACATGGTACTCACTGTAGTATGATCTGGTTGACTTGTGTGCTGTGTGTGCTGTGTGTACTGTGTGTGTATTGTGTGTACCAGCTGCTGACGTCCTCGCGCCGAGACCATGACACTCTGCAGACGGAGCTGAACAGACTGTTAGCGGAGAACGAGGCGTCAAAGGAGGAGGTGAAGGAGGTGCTGCAGGCCCTGGAGGAGCTGGCAGTGAACTATGACCAGAAGAGCCAGGAGGTGGAGATCAAGACCAGGGAGTTTGAGGCTCTGAGTGAGGAGCTCAACCAGAAGTCTGTGAGTCTGTGAGCTAAGACTCCCATGTTACATCAACGTTTAAGCTTGTGACAATCTGCCAGTGTCTGTTGTTAAAAGTGTTTTGTGTTGACCAACAGAGGGCGTCTAACTAACCCAAGTCCTCTCCATTTGTCTCTCAGAGCTCCCTGGCCTCCATCGACTCAGAGCTGCAGAAGCTCAAGGAGATGACCAACCACCAGAAGAAGAGGGTCACAGAGATGATGGCCTCCTTGCTCAAAGACCTGGCTGAGATCGGCATCGCAGTGGGCAGCAACGACATCAAGGTGGCGCTATGACAAACCTCCATTACCATCTGTGTATCCAACGTAAACATGTGTGTTCCTTTAGCAACAGGAGAGCAGTGGGCTGATAGACGAGGAGTTCACCATGGTGCGGCTCTACATCAGTAAGATGAAGTCTGAGGTGAAGAGCACGGTGAAGCGCAGCAAGCAGCTGGAGAGCTCCCAGGCCGAGAGCATCCAGAAGGCCAAGGACACCGAGAGGGAGCTGACCGCCTGTCAACTGCGCATCTCCCAGGTAACAATGTCTCCTAAGTAACAGCGTTTCCCAGGTAACAGGTCCTATCCTCCGTCCTCCAGGTCCTAGATAACCCCCCAAAGTAACCAAATGTCTCAGGTAAAATTGTAAATAGTAATGTTAGATAGTAAATACTTGTGTAAAATATGTCTGTAAAAGTGTTCAACTTTAACTTTACTTTAGAACTGACCGTCTACATCAGAGATGTCTGACTGTGGTCTGGGGGCCAAATGTGACCCCTTCCTTTCTCCTGTTTTTCTTTCTGCTGATACAGCCTCAGGCTCAGCTCTTACTAAACAGTAAGTGTGCTTTTTTTTTTTTTTTTTTTTTAATCACAGCAAGAGGCCAAGATAAAGACGGTGTCAGAG